TTATGTTATTATTCTGCATTTTTCCCTACCCAAGGAGAACTTAATATAGATTTCATGTATGTATACTTCTAGCCCCCACGTGTATTTAGAAATATTTACATATATTTATAACATATATTTAAATTTATATAATTATACATTTTAAATATATACTTTATATTTGTATATATAAATTTATAATATAAATACATTTATAAAATTCATAGGCTACCATCTTGCCTCAAGGTAACTTAAATCCTGCCAGAACCTCTGTGTTACTAATTGGAAGGAGGCATTAGCCGTTGTTTGATTCTGGAATCCAATTTAAAGCTTCTACAATGATTTCTTGCTTCCTGTGCTAGAACGAAAGGGAATGTAATAGTATGTGGAAATGACTTTGGGAGACGGTAAGAAGAGACGCAGCCTATGCAAGGTCTGAAAAATGAAATTTGAATCGGGAAGAGTGGCAAAAGTGTCTCAGAAGGGATCTTCTCTAGTTTTGGAGAGAATAAAAGGGAGATATGGGAGGGGTCCTTTCAGACTTGCAAGATTCTATTAATATAAACTTACAATAAAGATAGAGCTAGTATTCCTGATTGTGTTTCTGGTTGGAACTACCTTGCAAGACTGACAGGGATCTGCTATTTCTCTGGCTAATTGTTTCCCTTAATTGAAGCAGTGTTTCTGTGAAAGATTTTTTTTCTAACATACAGCTGAAAACTGCTTTCATGTAATTTAAATCTTATCATTCCTTTTCTTGCATTCTGGAACAATGAAGAATAAGTTCTTGATTTTCTTCTGTGTGACATCCTTTCATATATTTTAACCATGCAGGGTGGATATACTTGATTACAGTGGTGATGGATACAGTGTTACAAGGTCTGGGAACAGAACATCCTGGAGATCTATTTACATAGTTGCTAAGAATCAACACTGATGGTGGCAATAATCAATCAATCGCTCAATATCAAATAACTAGCAGCAATTAAAAATCACGGCCATAAATACTCAGGCAGTTTTCAGTGAAGTTTATTTAATTTATAATGAATAAATTTAATGGAGATAAATAGTTTCTCAGCCAGGCCTTTCTAAACAAATTAGAAATTAAATCATTTTATGAGAAAAGTCCTTTTTTAAAAAAAAGGTTTTTACACTGCCATGAAATGTCATCTTGAATATGTCAAGTCTTTCTACAAAATGACTTGATGGGTTTATCCTGAAAATAATGTTTCAGAAGTCCTGATATGATTTATCACTGATTGTTTCAGTTATTTCCAGAAATTAATATATTACCCAGTATATGTTTTGCTATCCTATTAAGGCATTGTGTTCTGGAAGGCATCTTCCTATTTGATGTGGTGATAAAGGTGTTGGCCTAGAACAAGGATCTTCAAACTTGGCCCTTTTATGACTTGTGGACTTCAACTCCCAGAATTCCTCAGCCAGGCACGCTGGCTGAGGAATTCTGGGAGTTGAAGTCCACAAGTCATAAATGGGCCAAGTTTGAAGACCCCTGGTCTAGAAACTAGGAAACTATGAGCTTTAGCTTTGTCTTAGTCCTGCCTTAGACATGAAAGCTGACTGGATATGTTTCGGCAGTCACTCTTTCTTAGCCCAATCCACCTCACAGAGTTGTTGTTGTTGTAGGTAAAGTAGGGGGGGGGGAAGAAAGAGCCCTATATATGATCACTCTCTTCAGTTACTTATGAAGTTACTGCTGCTGCTTTTGTGTCGGAAGTGCCAAGGATTAACCAGTGACATCACTGTTGCCCAGAAGATGCCTGGTTGGAGACTCCTTTCATGCCCCCTTTAATGTGCCCATCGAAGTGGTACCTATTTAGCTACTTGCGTTAGCACACTTTCGAATTGCTAGGTGAGCAGGAGCTGGAGCAAATGACTGGAGCTCAACCCATCACATAACAGTACTCGGCTTTCGAATGTGGGCTTGTAGATTGTCAACCCAGTGTTTTAACCACGTGAGTCTACTTATAAAGTAACAAAGGCAGAATAAAAGAATCTAAATTAATGCCCAGATATGAAATTATCATTATACATCAAATATTTGTTTATTTTTTTTAACATATTGGAGTTTTTAATACATATTTTAACTTTTTGGTTATCCGTTAGTGGAAATTCTGGTAGTTGTGAAAGAAAAACATTCATAACACTAAGGTTTTAGGTTCTTGTGGAAAGATACAGTATTGAAAGAAAGTATCAAAAAGATGTTATTGTAATTTTTTTCCTTCAGTGTCATAACTTCAAATAGGAAAAAATTGGTTTCCTTTTAGTTATGCAAGGATAATTAAGTTGAGCAAAAGTCAGATAAAGCAAGCAAACAATGCCTGTTGGTTTCTTCCCCTTTCTCCTATCTTACTACAGCTTTTGTGATAAGCAGGTAATCTATATGCACCTGTTTAACATTTCAAAATTAATTTCTTTATAGGCAGAATAAAACTCTGGCACAGTTAACCCTGTTCTCCATATGTTGCTACTTCTACATCCCATCTCTTTTTAGGAGCAAAATAAGTGCATGAATGAAACCTGGCTGGAGATTTATCAAGCTGGCAGGATGTTGTTTTCATTTATCATCCTCTAGAACAAGATTCCTTGATGTCGATGATCTTTCCTCTGTCTTACTCTGGTCTTTGGGACACAGAGATCTTCTTCCAGGTCACCCTGGGACAAAAAATGTACCTTTCAGACATTCCAAAGCTGCCTAGTTCAATCTGATTCATCAGCTATTTGTCTCTTTCCCAACTGACTTGTCAGAGTGCTAGAATTATGTCTGGATGATCATATGACAGGATGGCAGACAACAATGTACTCAGTTGTTGCATTCTGTCACACAATCTCTCATAAGGGCTTCTTGAATATTTTATCGTAGTAATGGATCATGTATTTTTGGAAATACACACAGTCATCGACTTACAACTATAGTTTGGACCAGAATTTCTGTTGCTAAGCATGGAGGTTGTTGAGTGAATCTTGATTTTACAACTTTTTTGCCACAGTATTTAAGCAAATTACTACAACTGTTAAGTGAATCAGACAGTTGTTAATGAATCCAGCGTCCCCCATTGACTATGCTGTCAGAAGCTGGCTGGGAAGGTTGCAGATGGTGATCACATGACTTTGGGATACTACTATTGTAAATACATGCCAGTTGCCAAGTGCCTAAATTTTGATCATGTGACTGAGGGGATGATGTGACAGTTGTAAGTATGAGGATCAGTCATAAGTCACTTTTTAGTGCTGTTGTAACTTTGAATGGTTGCAAAGTAAATGGATATAAGTCAAGGATTTCCTGTAAGCTGTGTAGTTGTTTATTTATTTAGCATATGGCAAAAATGTTAAAAAGCACATCACAATTACATTCTCAATGAGCACTTATGAAACTATTTACAAATTCAAAGGTAGACTATTAATATAGTCAATACATGATGGAGTTACATACAGAAAATCTCTGGAGTTTCACTGATGTGTGCTCAAAGGGCACTGTTCCTTAATATGTCACACTGTCTGCTTTGGAACACCACAGTCACATTTCTAGGAGGAAGGCTTTCCCCATTTATGGAGGTGACTAGCACACCTGCCATGTTGAGTCTCAATTCTACTGAGGATTGACCAGGTCTTAAGGGGTAGACTGAATCCTTTTGATTCAGCTATAAAGCAGGGAATGTTGTGACACTCTGGATGAGCAATAGAGGACCATTCTTATGTCCAGACCTGAAGCAGATTGAAGTTGTTATCCAGCAAGCCATAATAGATGGATGTTTGGATGTCTGCTATGTAGTGATAGACGGGAAGTCAAGAAACACAAGTTCAATGTTCTGGTGAATATACAGCAGAGCAACATATCCTGAGTTCCCAGGCCATGTGTGGCCTCTCTTCTCTTTACGATGGATTACATTAAAGCCAGACATGTAGTCCTGCAGAGGATAAAGTATATGGAGTATAATTTGGTGGTTAGTAAGATCCTATACTGTAGTTGAACCTGAATTCCAAGCTTCTAAGAACTCGTTTCTTCTGCCTGTCTTGCAACGACATCCCGGCCCACCTGAGATGAGTATGCAAAGTATATTGTGGCCAAATTTTCCATGACAGCAATCAAGACAAGTAATCAAATAATGTATCCTTGATGAGCATGTATTTGTTTTTATATGTTGATGTATGTAGATCATTTATCATAATAAGGAATGCAAGTATATGTGGCCACTAAAATTCTATAGGCCTCTAAAATTGTCTATAGGCTACTGCAAATTTTAACATGACAAAAGAGGAAAATGATTCAGTGTAATAGAAGTAATTGCATTTGTTATATTTTGGCTTAATTATATTTACATTTAAATAAGAAATATAACTTGGGCTTTGTTTCAGACATATCTCCTAGTATGGGAGCAAAACCCCTGGTACAACAACAGGTGACACACTATGGCCTACTGTTTCCAGAAAAAGTTTGAAGCCTGTGATGTTGTGTGAGGGATTATGCTCCAGGAATTAATAAATATAGAAGAATAAAATCTATATTATATTTAATTTCATTTAAATTTAAAGTATAGGCAATGTTTTGAAGCCAATGAGAACAATTAAGATTTTTATACTTAAATCATGCAAGCTCTTCATAAGGGGAGGAAGGGGAGCTTTTCCCTCCACAAAATGATTGCTTGGATATAAAATCCCAGTTGATAAAAGAAGGTAGTTTGGACATGAAGGTGTTTTCCTTAGTCCTAGTGCAGTATTTCCTTCATTGTAACTCCTCCATCCTTTTTATTTTCTAAACAAATCTGTGCAATCTATTGTGGGAGCTGGTGGAATTTTTGTAAAGACAATACCAGAAGTCATTGGTGTGCCTTGCAGCCTACTAACTTCTTGTGTTTTCTTTTAAAACGGGGAAAAATGTCTTGCAAAGGGAGTGATCTGTGGGCATGTTGCTTTTGAGAACTGTGTTGCCTATTCCTAGTGTAGAAAATATTGTATGTTGTTTTCAAACGCTAGTTTGACATTTTAAAATTTTCTTACAGCATGGAGGCAAAACTGCAAGTGGAGCATCAAAAGGGAAGAAAGGAGCAGAAGCAACTGAGGTAAATTATGGCTATACATTATAATAATTTAACAGAATGAGCTGTTATTTAACTTTTGCACATCTCTTATCATTCATAGCTTGTCTAAAGAAGATGGTTAACAAATCTAATTAGTTATTGTGATTTGGTTATTTCATTATTAGCCATCAGCCATAAACTGGGCTGCTGTAATGAATACAAAGAAGTGTTGTTCTCATATAAGTTCTGAAACACTTATTCTGAATTATTTTCAGATTGCATGAATTCTCATCAAGCAGTATTGGGTAGGAGTGGTTAAGCTATAGTATACTACTGTCATTATTATCATTTCTGAATTTAACTGAATTTAGAGTCCTGTTTAAGCTTTTTATGAGGGGTCTAGAACCTCAGGCTGCAGACTGCATGTAGTTTCCTATAATCCAGAATCTAAATATTGTTCACATCTTTCTGTTTTTAACAAGACAGAAGTTATTAAAAACACAAGCAATGAATTGCATTGTGTTAACTACATGTTAATTCAATTAAATCAAACGTAATTTTTATCATAACCTTGCCCACTTTTAGGAGACTGCACTTGTTTTATATATACATAATATATAGTCTGTTTGAGCTGCACCTGATCTGTTTGAGCTGCACCTGTATAGTCTGTTTGAGCTGATCCTGATCCGTCAACTTTTAAAGTATGGAAGTTGGCTTTGCTGGATGTCCATGCAAATAGGTACAAGAGGCGAGTTCATGAATATAGCTGTAAATCCAGAGGCTTGGAAGATTAATAGGGTTCAAATAAGGCCTCATACTTGGCCTTGATTTTCCTGGAGAAGGTCTTTCTGTGTGGTTGCTAAGTTGATACCAAGTAGATGGCATACAATCAATCTATTCTTCAATATAATAGAGAAAGCTGGATTGATTGGAAGTGTAGTGTTGAAGTCTGTATGACGGATGTGAGGAATTTGAGCCAGCATGGCTTAAGATCAAGTGCTGAGAGTTAGTCTTAACACTTTGAGAAATACAGGTTGCTGTATTCACTTGAGGAAACATTTTTAAAATATACCCAATGCCATGATCATCTTGGTTCTTGATGCATGTCATTTAATTATTTCTTTATTTGTCAAATATATATGGCTGCCCATGTCACAAACAAGGGACTCTGGGTGGCATAAAACAAGACTAAAAAAATCATTGTTACACTATATTACACTATAATATTGCTATTATTATAGTGTAATATAGTGTAACAATGATTTTTTTAGTCTTGTTTTATGCCACCCAGAGTCACTTGTTTGTGACATGGGCAGCCATATATATTTGATATATTTGGTCACACAGTCAGCCAGATGTTTAGATTAGATTTGGTATTTGTATTTAAATTGATCAAAATGGTCCTTGATCCTTGAGTCCTTCCATGAACCTGGTATTGGCAGATGTTGTTGTTTAATTTTTTCCCCCCTCAAGTTCTTTTTCTTCTCTTCTGCTGGCTTTAGATACTGCAACATTCACTATTCATATTTTTTTTGTCTTTCCTATCAACAATTATTAAATCTGGGGTGTTATGTGTCAGGTGCCTGTCTGTTTGAATTCTAAAGTTTCAGAGCATTTTAGTGCCTTCGTTGTCTACTACTTTGTATATTTTGTGATCGCACCAGTTTTTGCTTGTAGGCAAATGGTATTTCTTGCAGCTACTCCAGTGCAACATTGTTGCTACTTTGTCATGCCATTGTTTATTGTCAGTCTGTACTATCTTCTTGCAGCAGCTTACTAGATGATTCATTGTTTCTTCAGTTTCTTTGCAGTGGTGGCATTTGCTATTCCTTACTGTCTTCTCAATTCTGGCTTTACATGCTTTTGATCTTAAGGCTTGGTCTTGTGTAGCCAGAATTAGTCCCTCTATCTCTTTCTTCAACTTTCCTGTTCTTAGCCATTGTCAGGTCTTGTTGTTATCTGCTTTACCTGCTGTGTGTGTGTGTGTGTGTGTGTGTGCTGGCCATGTACTACTTTTTATTTTTCCTTTGGTCTTTCTTGTAGGCCAGTTTGGTCTCTCTTGTATTCAATAATCCTTCAGTGCATCTTCTTCAATGTCCTTCAGATATTAGGATATTATTCCAATGCCTGTTTTTCTTCTTCAGCTGTCTGGTGTATTTGCATCACTCCACAGTCAATGCAATGGCAGTGTCTTTTTTATTGACAACTAGCTGCACCCGGCCACGCGTTGTTGTGGCTCAGTCTGGTAAAAGCGTGTGTTGCTTTTACGTCCAACAGATGGCGCTGTTTTTCAAAAAAAGCATGTTTTTACCTGTCACAGGTGTGACATCTATATAATATAGGTATATAAAAACACGTGCGTATTCGAATGCAACGTTGTGTCAAAATTTCAAAGCAATCGGTGAAGAACTTTCGGAGATTTAAGATTTTGAACAAACAAACATTTACATTTTTATTTATATAGATTATTGAATCTGGAATGGTATTAACTTTGAAAACTTTAAAAACTACAAAACTCAAGGTTAAAACAGAACAAGTATTAGGTGAAGAGTAGATGTTAATAATAATGGAGTCACCTCAGTATTTTATCTGATGGCCCAACCAAGTTTTGGAGGACTTCTGGAAAGTCAGTAGGGATGGAGTCTTACTACAGTGAGAAAGATATTCCATTTGGTAAAAAAAAAGTCTGCTGCTTAGGACTTGCCAGATATAGTTCCATAGTTAACAGGACCCATACCATGCTTTTCCTGTTGGTTCTGGTGGGACAGGCAGGTGTAATTGGGGAGAGGCAGCCCCTCAGATAATAAGGCCCCATGCTATGTAGGGCTTCAAAAGTCAAAACCAGCATCTTGAACTGGACCAATGCAGATTGTGGAGCAGAGGTGTAATGTGTTGTTCTGGAAACATACATTACTTCTTACATTGTTGCAATTTGTAACAGCTGAAGCCTTCAGATGCACTTCAAGGGAAGTTCCATGTAGAGCACATTACAATGGTCCAACTGGGAGGTGACTAGGGTTTGAGTGGCCATGAGTACAGCCCTTCAATTTAAGAATGGGTGCAACCAGCACCTAATACAAAGTTGTTCAAAGGCCCTCTACCCATGACTGTCACCTCTTCTTTAAGCAGGAGCAGTGAGTTAGGAGACTCCCCAGGTTGTGCATGGGGTCTGTTTGGAACACTACAGCCCCATCCAGCATCAAAGATGGCATAGTCCTAGAACCAGCAGCTCCCAATACCCAAAGCCACTCAGTATTGCCAGGGTTAATTCATATTGAAGTTAGGTAGTAAAGCTCTAATCCTATTTATATTAATTTATTTATCACACCAGGGCTTCTTTATTGAGTAAGCATAAATAAAGTTCTGCATTTAAAGTAGCATTCCTAAGCTATCTATCTGGACAATTTGGATATACAGATAGTCTTTGCTTAGCGATTATCTCATTTAGCAACCATTCACAATTATAATAGTGATGAAAAAGTAACTTTACTACCAATCCTCACATCTGCAATCTTCACACCTGTGTAAAGCAAAGGAAAGTTGAAGTAAGATCACAAGTCCGTAGTTGCAGTGTTACTTAGCAGCTGTTTCATTTAACAACTGAGCTGTAATTGCTCAACAAGAATTGCCTGTAATCACCATCTGACTAATCCCTGTAATACAATGAACAATGACAGGTATTGTTCAAAATGGGTAGTCACCAGTTTATTATGCCACCCAGCAATATTCCAAGAGATGGGTTTTATGTAACCCCCATAGCCTTAGTAGTGAGTCAGTTGGTGGCATTCAAAGTGTTATGTTCTTGCCTAGGTGTAAGAAGGCATCCTGATGTTATACTGATACTGTCATCAGAATGGGAATTATTACTAGGCAGCAACTTTGGGCTAAAGTCAATTCATTTGCTATCTCTGGACTTGGCTGGATTTGCAAGCTGGAGGTCTTGGTCAGGATATACTCTTGGTATAGCCATTTTCTTTCATCCTCTTTTCTGATCAAGACCCTAAGGCAGTGGTTCTCAACCTGTGGGTCGGGACCCCATTTGGGGTCGATCGACCATTTCACGGGGGTCGCCAAGCAAGGCTGTCTGCCATTTTTTTTTTGTCCACCATTTTTTTCCCTTTTCCGGCGGGTGTCTTACCTCCCTTGGGCTGGGCCAGCTGGTGGTCGGCCTGCTCCGTCTCTGCCGCTTGCCAGCTACGCCTCGGCCGGCGCAGGGGGTGGAACCACGCATGTGCAGCGCTCCCGGGCAGGGAAAGTCCTCGACTTACGATCGGTTGGGAAGTCCTCGACTTACAACTGGTTTAGTCCTCGACTTATGACCGGTTTAGTCCTTGACTTACGGCCGGTTTAGTCCTCGACTTACAACCAGTTGGGGTCACGGCATTAAAAAGGTTGAGAACCACTGCCCTAAGGTAAAACAGAATGAAGCAGATTGTCATTATCCAAAACTGAACAAGATGGAATCAATTTGGGCTGTTTCAGGCTAGAAGGACGTTTTGGCTTGCTGAATCTTTTTTGATTGCAGGACTCGGAGGATTTATAATGATTTTCTGTGGAGTTGCTCTTAGATGAGAAGTCCAAAGATATCAGGTCAATGAAAGGTTTGGCCGCTGTTTGTGTTAACAGCTGTGTTTATTTAAATTCATCAAATTATCTCAGTATTTCTTCTTGTTCACTATTTGATAAGGCTTCAACAGTTAATTAATCCTGTTTCTAGAGTTTCCTTAGTGCCAGTTTTTTTCCTTGTAAAATCTCAGTATGATTATTTGAGCATTGTCTTGTCAAGGATGCTAAAAGTACTTGGATGCTTATGGTTTTGCCTTTTAAAAAAAAATCATATGGCTGCCTATATCATGAGGGAGGGGAGTCTGCCTGAGACATTAAACCAGCGGTTCTCAACCTGTGGGTCGCGACCCCATTTGGGGTCGAACGACCATTTCACGGGGGTCGCCAAGCAACACAGTCCGCCATTTTTTTTCCCCGTTTTCAACGCAGTCCGCCATTTTTTTTTACCTTTTCCTTAGCTGTGCTACTCCCTCTTATTCTATTGGCTTTTGAAAGCCAATAGAATAGACTCTATTCAAG